ACCTGCTGCGCTCGGATGGCAGTTTGCGTCTTTTACAAGGGAGGGGCAACGGTGAATGCCGTTTCATTTTATTTTCCCGCCTGACGGAGGAACTGAGTGCGGTCAGGTCCGTCCTCAGTGCTTGGACGCAAAAGGAAACTTTCTTCTCCAGCTTTTCTATACCCACGGCGTGACTGGTGGCAGTTTTGTCCGATGCGGCCAGCGATGACACGTGGAACGACGAGTGCCTTTGCCTGCATGCGATGGTGGAGGAACGCAGTGAAGGACAACGATGGGTTACAAGTGACGGGAGTTGAGTCCAGGGTAATATTGCCTGTGAACACTCGGGGTGATGAAGTGCGTCATGTATTCTTGAGCCACAACTTCACACTTGTAGCGTCGGTGACCATCGAAGTGACTCCGAACGGGAACATTTCTCTACTGACTGCGATGCTGGCGGACACTGAGTTCAATCATACCGTGGGACCGTCGTACAGCCACAATAAGAAGTGGGAGACGACGTTCGAAGGGACGACAACAACACGGAGCAGCACTTGGGAGCCGAAGGAAGAATGCCAAGTGGCACTCATGCTGCAAGGCAACAATGCCTCTGTGGACGTTGATGGTCAGTTGCTGGGGGAGGAAGAGGTGCCGTTAACGGGCCAGAGGCCACCTGAGGTCCTGAGGTTTTGCTTTAGGGCGTGCGGTGGGCACGAATCTCATGTGACGGTGAAGAACGTTTTTCTGTACAGCCGCCTACTGAACTCCACTGCGATACGTGCACTCAAGGACAGGGTCTCCGTTCCGACGAGAGAAGCGGCCCCGACACCTCTCGAGGAGATTCGAATAGTTGACAGCGTCAGAGAGCACATTGCTGGGGGTATTACTGAAGAGAAATGAATGGGCACAACGCAATGCCACTGGACATGAATCCCCATTAAAAAAAGTCACCTCGCGGGGTCTGGAGCGGCGTGAGTCCCGACGACCGCCTCGCCTCTCTCAACGACGCGAAATTGACACTGCGTGATTTGAGCGGCAACAACACCGTGCGTGTGTGCGTGTATTGGGTGTTGCTGCTTCTTATTGGATTGTGTTTGGGTGGTGGCAGTCTTCCGAGCCACGGAGTGTGGAATTGCGACTCCTCACGGAGAACACATGCTGCATTGCCCTTCCTTTTTCATAACACTTTTTTTTTTCCTTTTATTTTACCGTTTTTCTTTTTATTTCATTGTTTTCACTTTTTAATGTTTTTTTAATGTAGTTTAGCTGGATTATTAAGTACTGTCTTTTTTTCTTCACGTCATGTTTTGTTGCCCACACGCGGTGCCGGCTCCGCTGCTGTGCGTCCCACGGACTGCACGAAAGGAGGATTGGAGAGACATGCCGGATGCCGCAATGAAGTGTGAGGGATGTTGTGTGGGCTTATGGAACAGCAAGATCTTTTTTTTAATTTCCATTTTTTCTGCGGGTAGAATGTATGCACCCGGTCATCTTGTGCTTCTAGGCACATCAAATAAAAGTCCTGGCTGGAGAAGTTTTTTACTCTGTGAGTTCTGGTGGACTCACAATTTTTTTCTTTTTTTTTCTTTTTTGCAAATACCCGTGGCTTGTTTCCGTTTGTGCTGTGCTTGCCGTCACTGCCTTTCACAGTGTCCCGTTGAGTGTCCCTCTGCTGGCCGTGCTGTTGAAATGCCCCCACTTCTTCTTTTCTGCCAGAGGCACCGATGGTCCGCGACGACGATTGTTTGTGTTCCCCCGTTGCGATGGCACGAGGATGACTGGGCGCCGGTCTGCTGAGTACATTCGGAGGGGAGCGGATGGTGTGCACCGTGTTTCACTGTGAGTGTGGGACGCCAATCCAATCTGTCGCGGCGGTGAGAAGTAAAGAACAGCGCCGTGGATTTGGATGCGCCGCGCCTCTCTCGTTGCAGCCGTGTGTTTGTGAGTGCGCATGTCTCTTTGTTGGAGTGCGACGTGGATGGCGTTGCTGCTGCGTATCCTTTTGTGCGTACGCTGTGCGGCGGACTTCTCTTCCCCATGGCACCGCCCTTTTGTGTGGGCGAGTAGAGTGAGTGGAGATGCGTGAGGGAGTGAGGGTGGCCTTTTTTTCCGCACATTTGCTTCTTCCACACACACTGCTCCTGTCGGCAGCTTCTCGCAGCACCCAGGCCGTGGATCGAGAGGTGTGAGAGTCTGCTCCAAGCACAAGAAAGACAACAAGATGTTGTGCGTGACGGCCAACCTGATCCGTGGGTGGTTGCAGCGCATGGAGCACGTGCGCCAGTACGCGTTGGGTGTTGCGCTCATGATTGCGGAGGAGAGGCGGCACGACATTGTGGCGCTGTGGGTGTTGCGCGGCCGTGGCATGCCGGCGATTGTGAGGACGTGGAGGACACGGAGCTGTTTGACTGGGAGGAGGTGGTGGCGAACATTGCGGCGCAGCGGGAGCGCATGAAGGACTGCCTTTGCTGGAGGGGCGCGTGTTGAAGTGAGAGTGGCGTGCCTGTGAGGAACTGAGGAGAGGGAATAACGGTAACAGTGACTGTGGGGGTGTGAGGAACGGGGCAGGAAGCATTCCTTTTTGTTTTGTTTTTTTTATTGTTAACTGCGCTCCCCTAATTGTTGTTGTGGCGCGTGACTCTCATTGCTGGATGGGACGGTGCGTGGCAGTGTGACTTTTCTCTCCTTTTGCCTTTTTGCTCTGCGTTGACGGGGAGTTGGTTTGTGCTGAAGGCTGCACGTAATTGACAGGAGTGATGGCGATGATGATGACTGGCCGTGTGCTGCTGGTGTGTGCCCTCTGCGTGCTGTGGTGCACTGTAGGTGTAGTTGCGGACGGTAATACGGAAGAGGTTGTGGGGAGCGTTGTGCCACTATCCGGGCCTAATGGATCACAACAGTTACAAGAGGAAGATTCACGGCGCAAGGGGCATTCAGAAAATGACGAGCAAGTTGATGAAACGCAAATGCAAAAGCAACGCCAAGACGGAGAAGGCCACCAAGAAGGTTCAATTCAACCAGCTGAACAATCTGTAGGACTACAGCTGCAATCTGAAAGGCCTCGAGTCGAGGAAGCGGGCAGACGAACTGAAAAAGAACAATTGCAACGGGGGAAGCAACCAAACCCAAGCGTTGAGCATCAAACTCCATCCAATCCGGCAGATAAATACCAGGAGCGCGGTGGAAAAGGTGATGTTCCTAAAGGAAGAGACAAACAAAAAGAAAAGAAATTATTTCTCAAAGTAGAGGAGAAACGGAAAGTCACGGAAAAGAAAAAGAAAAGGTTGCAACTGACCCAGGTTCCCCGGAAGTGATTTTAACCGAGATTTCGCAGGAAGCATCACCCAGCCCTCCAGGGAAACCGCTGGCAGAAAACGAACAAATTGCTGAAGAAAATGTTGGTAAAAAAGAGGAAAAAGACAAGCAACATGAAAAAAAAGGAGACCATCACGTACAACAACAAAACGGAAAACAAGAGAAGCTGCATGGCTCACCCACAGGGTCAGGGTCAACGCAAAGTTCACTGGCAACTTTACCTCCAGAGGAACTGCAACAAAAGCAGACCATCGCCGGTTCAACAAGTCATCTAGAAGGAGAAGCTCCTCTGGTTGGCACGGAGAGTACATCAAATGGAAATAACGACCCATCATTGCCCTCCGTTTCTACACATGCTGGTGTTGCTGCCACTCATGAGACCGACAAGGGAGACGCGAAGGTTCGTCATAGTGTTGAATCTACTGAAACAACAGTAAATGAAACAGATGAACAACATGAGCATCTCACAGAAAATGACAACGAATCCGCAAAGGATAAAAATAGCGTTGGTGCAAATTCCACCGCAAATACAGACGACAGTGACGGCATCACCGCGGTCTCGCACACCACCTCCCCTCTTTTGCTTCTTCTTGTTGTTGTTGCGTGTGCGGCAGCAGCTGCTGCGGTGGTGGCCGCGTGAGAGTGGGGGAGAGAGTGCCGTGCACCGCCCGCACACACACTCGTCCTTCTCTCTCTCTGTGTGTGTGTCCCCTTGCATGGACTCTCGCCCTCACCTCACCCCACGAAGCACACACAATAATGTGCCCATTGTATATATGCATGCACACCCATGCAGGCCCGTTGGTGCTCTCTTTTGCACGACACGCACCGCTGCCGTCCTGCCTGGCTGCATGGGCGGAGCACCGTAACTGTTTCTGTTTTGTTTCCATTGCATTGAGTGGGCGACCTCTCTCTCTCTCCCTCTGTGTGTGTTTTGCTTTACGGGAGCAATGAGAGTGTGTGTGCGCTGGTCGTCCCACGCTTCGGCTTTTTGTTTTGTTTTTCTTTTTGTGTTGTGGTTGAGTGCACCCATTCCGCGGCTGTGTGTGTGTGTGTGTGTGTGTGTGATGATATGAGTAATTTGCGTGTGTGCTATCTGCCTCTCTCTGCCGTTGCTTTCTTCAGACTCTCTTGTGGCGCACAGCTGCTCTGCAAGTGTAGGCGCTGCCAAACAAACAAGCACATGCACACACAAATGCCGTGTTTAAAATGCTGAGAATGCACGCACGCACAGGATTGTGGCCGCGGAGGCCCTCGCGAGGGGGGAAGACGGGAGCCTGCGATTTATTTATTGACACTTTGCAGGCGTGCAGTCGATTGGGTGTTGTGGGTTAGGGTGACTGGTATAAGTGCGGATTGATCTCCGCCCAGCGGCTGCACGTGCCGATTTGTATCTCCTGTGCTGTGTAAACTTTGGTCAGGGATTCTTTGCCTGTGCGGGTGATGTGCATTGGAAGGGTGAACAGTAAAATGACTGGCGGCAGTTCGTGTGCTTTTCAAAGGACAGTCGTGTTCTTTTGCATTACGTTGGTTGATGTGTGTGTGGACGTCGCTCGGTGTGTGCTGACGCGTGAATATCGACGCACCCGCCGTGACTCCTGCTGCTGCTGGTGGCAGTCGTTGTGTGTTCTCTTTGCACTGTTCTTCCTTCTCGTTCCGTGTGTCTGTGTGCGTGAGTTGTTGTTGTGGGGAGTGACTGCGGCGGGATGATGGTGCCACTTACTGTGGATGACGGTGCTCATTCTTTCACCCATATTTTATTAGCCTGTTTTTTCTTCATTTCTTTTACTCTCTCACGAAGAAAGCAAACAAGCGCTAATCGCTACTGTGAAATTCGAAGGCACCAAAAGGACCAACAGCACACACACCGCCCACACACACATATTTGTATGCTCTCACGTGTTGCTGCAGTGAAGGCACCCCGCACACACAACCGTCGCGGCGTGACCGGATCCAGCGGAAGGAGGAGGGAAGGAAGAGAGAGTGAGCCGCAGAGGCCCAAAATGTCCCGGCGTGTGTTTACTTCCGCGGTACTGCTCCTCCTCGTCGTGACGATGTGCTGCGGCAGAGGCGCTGCGATTGCTAAAGTGGCGACTTCATCTCTGAAATCTTCACCGGAGAAACATTTTGATTGGAGGGATGTGAAAACAGAAGGAGAAGTGGGTGCGCTCTATGCTCCCAGTCTTGTTGAGATGAATGGTGATGTGTTTGCCGTTGCCGAGGCGCAGTGCAAGAGGGGTGAAAACAGATTTACTGGGATTGCCTCGAAGCTCCTGACGTTGACCGACGAAGCATCAAAAGAGGAGTTTGATGCAACTCAAGTGAAGACACAAGTACTGGAGGAATGCTCTTCCGAAGATGTGAAAGCCGGCTGCCGTGTGGCGGTTCAGGAAGGTGGTTCTCCAAAAGAGAAGAGAGTAGATGTTAGCCGGCCGACAACAGTTGTGAATGAAAGTGATATTTACATGCTTGTTGGAAAATACTGCCGTGAAGACGCTGCTACCTGTAAGGCCACGACCGACACGATCAAATCGGGAGTATTGCTGGTGAAAGGGACAATCAGTGAAAGCGGTAACAACAAAAAAATCCATTGGAAGGAAACTGACGGTGTACCGTGCACTCTAGGCGACCAACAGAAAACTTTGTCAGGGCTGATTGGCGGCGGTGGATCGGGTGTTAAGATGAAGGACGGTACGTTTGTGTTCCCAGTGGAAGGCAAGAAGAAGAATATTGACGCAGAAGAGGATGGAAAGGCCGTTTCACTGATCATATACTCCTCGGATACTCCGAGCTGTACACTGTCGAAGGGGATTTCTGATGGTGGCTGCGGTGATCCCTCCGTCGTGGAGTGGGAGAAGGACAAAAAACTCATGATGATGACTGCGTGTGATGATGGCCGCCGCAGGGTGTACGAGTCCGGTGACAAGGGGGAGTCGTGGACGGAGGCACTCGGGACACTCTCGCGCGTGTGGGGCAACAAACAAAAGGGTGGAAATGAGAAGGGCGTTGGAAGCGGTTTCAGCACAGCGACGATTGAGAACAGGGACGTGATGCTCGTTACTCTGCCGGTGTATTCAAAGAAGGATGATACCGAAGTCAACGAAAAGGGCGTACTCCATCTTTGGCTGACGGACAATACGCACATTGTTGATATTGGGCCGGTATCCGGTGATGATGACGCTGCCGCCAGCGCCCTGCTGTACAAAAGTGCCGGAAGTGGACATAATAATAATGAGAGGTTGATTGCACTGTACGAGAAGAAGAAGGGCGATGGGGAGTCATCACTCGGCATGGTCTCTGTGCGTCTGACTGCGCAGCTGAAGCGGGTGAAGGAGGTGCTGACGACCTGGAAGGAAGTGGACGGACGTGTCTCCAAGCTGTGCCCTTTTTCAAGTGCTACTGTGAGTAAATCAACTGACACTGCCTGCACTACTGATAAGATCACGGATGGGTTGGTTGGCTTTTTGTCCGGCAACTTCTCTGATGGCACATGGAAGGACGAGTACCTCGGGGTGAACGCCACAGTAAATAAAAAAGAAGTGACTAGCACGGAGAATGGCGTGAGGTTCACAGGGCGTGGTTCGTGGGCGGAGTGGCCTGTTGGCAGGCAGGGGGATAATCAGCTGTACCACTTTGCGAACTACAACTTCACTCTTGTGGCGACGGTGTCCATCGACGGTGTGCCGAAGGAGGGAGATACCCCCATTCCATTGATTGGTGCGAAGCTGAATGACAACAAGAATACAGTACTCTTGGGACTGTCGTACAACAGCGGAAAGAAGCGGGCAGTGCTGTGCGGTGGCCAAACGACCACGGAACACAGCAGTAATTGGGAGCCAGGGACAACACACCAAGTGGCCATTGTGCTGCAGAACGAAAAACAGGGCTCCGCGTACGTCGATGGTCAACGTGTGGGGACTGAAGAATGTGCATTGGGAGAAGCAGAATCGAAAGAGATCTCACACTTCTACATTGAAGGCAGCGCAGAGGGCCAAGAAGGTCAAGAAGGCGTGTCTGTGACCGTGACGAACGTCCTGCTGTACAACCGCCCGTTGACTTCCGAAGAGATTGACGCCCTCAACCCGAATAAAGCCCCCATTACACCTCCTGAAGATCTTACCGCAGCGGTGGTGGTGGATACTCCTTCGACAGCGGTGGGCGGACCAGTTGCACAGAAAACCGTGTCCGTGTCCACTCCTGGCGGATCCACGGTGAATCATGAGTCAAGCGCAAGCTCTGCTGTGAATGCGGGGACGGTGGGAGGAGCGGATGTGCAGGGAGAGGAGGGAATCCATTCACAGGACGGGGAAGTAAATGCTACGGCACTCAACAGCAGCCTCGGAAATTTGTCGCAGGGGAATAACAGCGATGGCGGCACCATGCGTGGGAGCGGACCACTGCCGCTGCTACTTCTGTTGGGACTGTGGTGGTTTGCGGCTCTGTGAGGAGTGACTGGCTGCCGCGTGGAACACTTTTGACCTCCACTGCACCGACACACACACCTGGCAATGAATTTATTATCTCAAATAACTTTTATTTACTTTTCCCTCTGTTTGCTTTTTTGTGCGTTTTCAAGTTTTTTGTTGTGTTGCGCGACTCCATGTGTGTGTCTTTTCTTCAAAATTCTTTTCCTTCTTTTAAATTTCTTTGTTTTCATCTCTCACTCCCCCATCCCTCTTTTCCTTTTTGCTTTTTGGGGGAATCACTATGGACGTTCTTTTTTCTTTTCTACTCTTCCCTCTTTTAATTGTTTCTTGCTGCACTCTTCCTGTGAGGGGTGCCGTGTGTTTCCGCCCAACTGCTCCACTCGCACACCCACCGACACGCTCACGACGACGGCCCTGTGCGCCTCGCCTGCTGCACGCATGAGGAGGGGCCGCGACGAACGGCGCGCTGAGGGAGCCGTGACGTGTGGGCGTGCGACGAGGGCCTGTGGGGCGGAGCACACATTTCTTCCCTCTTGTTTTGTTTTCTTTGCGGTCAGGGCGGGCAGACACCCGCAGCACCACACACACAGCCACACCCTGCCGCCGTGTTTTTAAGATTTTTGCTGCGCTCACTCTCCCGATGGAGTGACGCGACCGCCGTCATTTCTGCGTGCTTCTCTCAGTCCCCACACACACGAGTGACTGTGCTCTGCGGGCCGCACTCACGCGCCGATGGGAGGGCTGAGGGGAGCAGCAACACGCAGATGACCCCGTGAAATATAAACGATGTGCGGACACACGGAGGGTCGGACGGTTGAAGGACATTTAAATATCTTTTAATTTTCTTTTCGGACAAAAAATATGCAGACAGTTTGGTGTGGCCACACGGCAGCCGGCTGCTTTTTTAAATTTGTGTGGAACAGTAATGGACGATTTCTTTTTATTTATGATTATTTTGTGTGATGGGGTTTGTGTAAGTTGAAGGGGAAAGCTTTTTTGTTTTAAATAAATCTTGTGTGAATTGCCGCTGCTTGGGCTGCAGTGCAGTCGTGAGTTTGGGCGGTCTTCTTCTTGTTGCTTCCGCCATGCACCTCCGCTGTACATTTTGTGTGTCCCTCCACATACTCTGCTTCCATTTCTCTACTTCTTTGCTTTGTGTTTCTGCAGGCACACACACAAGATGCACATTGCAGTGGATTTGAATGCTTCTTTTTTAGTGCATGCTGGCAGTTGCGTGTGGCGGCTGTTGTCTTCTTCCGTGGCCATGAGGAGAAGGGAGGAGGGAGTGCGCAGCCCGCGTCTCCTTTCCTGCGGGTGTGGAGCACCGCGTGTGGGCAACGGAGGGAAACAAGGGGAAGAAACACGTCACTCCTGACAGTGCGCGGCAGGCAACCATTTGGGAGAAACACAGGGATGCTGATTATTCCAATAGGGCAAAGGCAGCAAAAACAAATAAATAAAAGAAAATTAAAAAGCTTAAATTATTGACAAAACTCAGTGGGTAATGCTGGCAAGCTGCACAGTTATTGCTCCACGAAAAGCCGCAGTTCCACCCTCCCTCACACCTCAGCAGAGCGCCGCAGTGTCTCACAGCCCCAGAAGCAGAAGCAACAACACCCGAGACACACACCCATGCACGGTGATGTCACCAATTTCGGCCATGGCCAACAAATCCGTGAAATGCCCGTGCTCACAAAAACCGTTGCTCACAAGTGATGCTGCGTTGTGCTCCGATGGGATCTCTGGTTTCCCAGACGTTGTGCGCAAATAATCCTGTGCGGCGTCACCGCCACACGACACGTTATCACTCGTTCAGCATTTGCTAGGGCTGTGTTGGGCTCAGGCGTGGCTGTTGCACCATCCAAGGGCATTAGATCGCTGTTGCTGAGTGAATCGGGTTCGCTATCCGTGCCCACGGCGGTGCGGGCAGACGTGTCCTATTCATGGTCAACGTGTTGTTAGTCGCTGGCAACTGTGTTGGCGGTGGACGGCTCGTTGCCTCTTGCTGAGCATGCGTCTGGGTTTGTTGCGCTGCCACTTTACTCCCCCGGACAGCCGCGCTCCCTGTGGGCCTCACCGCGCAGCTGCTGGCAGCCTTGCGTGCTCCTGCCGTGCGGAGTGTCCTGCCACTGAGCGTGGCCACAGACAGTTTTCAGTTCCCCGCATGGCAGCAGCATCCCGATTGCCCACACGAGTTCCTGTCGCCACAGACTCCCTCTCGGCGATGGAGGCGCTCCGCCTTGGACTGCTGGCGGTGTACGACGACGTCGCCGAGGAGATTTTTACCGTGCCACTTTCACTGGTGGATCGAGTTCGCACAGTTGACTCCACATTTTCACCATGGCACTGCGGAGCCCCACGCAACGTTACAGCGGACGCTGATGCCATCATGGCACGATCCCTCCCGCAGGACTGCGTCAATGCCTGGCATGTGGGCCTCCTCACCGCAGTCAGGCGGCCGTACTGAAAGAAATTCCAGGAGGAAAAGGAAGGCGCACACCGCATGACAGGCGCTTGTCGGTGTGGCGGAACTCTATTCCTGGTGTTGACCCGGACATCGTGCCCGAGTGGCGGATCGCCGCGCACAGGCGCTATGCGACTCCTGCCCCCTATTCGACAGGCCTGCACGCGCCCTGCGGATCACAAGTTACTCCCTGTGTCGGTGGTGCCTTCCCTTTCTTACTGAGGAAACCGGCCCGCCACTGCCTCCGCCGGAACCTCTTCTAGACGAAAGCGCCGCAAATTTTTGCCTGCCAGCGAGCGGCGGATTGACATTCTCCTGCCCAATCTGCGGCAGGGTGCGCCCGTTTGTCCGCAGCGTGACGGCACATGTACGACGTGCTCGGCCTGGCGTTCAAATAGTTTGACAGGCCTCACATGCGGATGCCACAATGGCGCCACCGTCCTCTTAGCAGGCGCCTCGTGCGCAGGTCGCCACCGAAGATCCAAGCATGCCAGTAGGCAAGGCACGCAGGAAGCACAAACGCGGGTACTCGAGATGGACCAGGCTCTTCCGCCACCGCTTGATCACAGACGCCACGGGCTGCTCATCAACGACGGACCACGGGAGACTCCGCCTCATCCACTTTGGTAATGTCCTGTCATTGATAATATGGACTGTGACTGTTTGGACTGTCCCAGCCTGCACGAAGGCCTGTTTAGGACTGAATGGTTGTCACTTTTGTACGGGGAGCCTTTTCGCTATTCACTCATGGCTGTCACAAAATAAATTGAAGAGGAAAAAATACATCTTTTTGTGATGAATATTGGCTGCGCTTCCCGTGGACCAACAATCCACGTGGTGTGCGGGGATCATTCTTTTCATTGTTACTTTGCTTTTGTGTTGCTGTGTGCGCTGCACCTCCTCTTGTGTGTGTGCGTACCCTCCGTGAGGGGTGCAGACACGACGGACCGCTCTCGCCGTATGCACATGCGGTGGAGCCTTGTGTGCCGCTCCTGTTTGCTTCTCCCTCCTCCAGCTGTGTGTTGTTGTTGCAGCAGGGCTGTGTGTGTGTGTGTGCCTGTTGCCGTGGATTGGAGTGTGTGTCGTGCGTGGTGTGCGGCGTACGGTGCATGCCTGGCTGCTGCCCTCTCCTCATGTGCTGTGCCCTCTGTGTGTGTCTGCCGCACCTCTCGTCTCCCCTGTTGCTCTCCATGTCCTTCACTGTGCAGATCAGCTCCACACCACTGAACGACCACACTCACGACGATGATGACGTGCCGTCTGCTGTGCGCCCTGTTGGTGCTTGCCCTGTGCTGCTGCCCATACGTGTGCGTGACGCAGAGTGAAGATAAAGCTGGAAAAGATTCCGTTCCAAAGGATAAAAAGCCAGAGGGACCAAGTGAGTCGACAGATTCGCTTAGTGCAACTTCTCCTTTGCAGAAGACAAACGAGGGAGAGAGAGAATAAACAGACAGAAACTACAACGGGTACAGTAACCGAAACGGAAGAGTCACAACGTAATCTCAATAATAAACAGGAACAGGAAGGCCAATTAAGCAAGGAACAGGCAGAACATACGAAGACTGTTGCGCTAACCGAACAAAATGAGAAACCAAATGCACCAACCACGACTACCACGACACAGACACCAACCACGACCACTGCGCCAGAGGCACCAAGTACTACGACCACAGAGGCGCCAACCACGACGACCACCCGTGCACCGTCACGTCTTCGCGAAATCGACGGCAGCCTCAGCAGCTCTGCGTGGGTGTGTCCCCCGCTGCTGCTTGCCGCATCCGCGCTGGCGTACACCACTGTGGGCTGAAGAGGTGTATGCGGGTTGTGCGTGCCAGCACTCAGCCACGGGGATTTGTGCGCGTCCACTGTGGTCCGATGTAAATAAGTAGGAGAAAATAATGATTGTGATTTGCTTCACTTGCTTCCGCTGCACTGCTGTGTGGTGGTGCATGTGCACTGGAGCCATTTGGGTGCAATTTTTTAGTGTTTTTACTTTTTTTGCATTTTTACTCGTGTTTTGTTTTAATGTCTTTTTTTTTGCTGATTATTGCAGGGCTGTGCATTTGCCTTTTTTGTCCTTCCACTGATTCCAACTGCCTCATGGTGTGTTTGTTGCTGCTGCTGCTGGGCTGCTGACACCTGTCCTTGTGCGGTGCTGGTGTTTCTTTTTCCATTTCACTCTGCGTTGACGTGTTGTTATTTTGTGCTGAAGGCTACACGCAAGTGACAGGAGTGATGGCGATGATGACTGGCCGTGTGCTGCTGGTGTGTGCCCTCTGCGTGCTGTGGTGCGGTGCCGGCGGTAGGTGTGAGAAGGTGGTGGTGGGATCTGCTGCCGGCGGTGGTGGAGATGTGAGTGGTGGTAAAGGTGCGGTGAAGAATACTGATACTTCAACGTCAGGACCAGACACATCAGATTCATCAATAGATGTATCCAAGGTTAATCAAGCAACAGAAAAGTCTGAAGTAAAGTCTTTGGAAGGGAACGGAGATAATGTTGATCAACAGGATGTTGTTGTTTCCAGAGTGGAGGGTGAAAAAAAAAAGAACTCTTCAGAGCAATTAGAAGAACCAATGAAAGATGATTTAGGAAAAGAAAAAACAAACCCAGAAATAAAAAATAAAGAACAGGAAGGAGGGCAACCGCCACAAGCGCAATTAAATGTACAACAGCAACCGCAGCCACAAACGCAACAGTCACAAACGCAACTGCAGCAGCAGCCACACGCTCCTGCCTCAGAAGAGGGTAAAGGTGTTGGCGAGAACAATACGGGTGGAGCAGGTCAGCCCCCATTGGGAGTAGAAGATAAAGGAAACGAGGATTCAAAGGCCCTCGGGAAAGGAGACTCGTTAAAGAGTCCAGGTAAAGAATCAGAAAACAGTGAACGGGTCCAAACGACAGCGCCAAACACAGTAACGCCGGAGCACGAAACCCAAAATGAAATGTTAACTCCGGAACAAAAGACGAATGAAAGCCAAAGCACGGATACATCCACGAACCTACCCGAACTACAAAAGGAAAATAAGGAATACCCTGCCTCTACGGAAGGTACGGCGCGGAGTACATCAACTGGCAGTCAAGAACAAGAAGCTGAGCCATCTACAAGCGAAGAACCTTCCCCTTTTGAGGAGGAACAATCCACAGTGACGAAGACAACTGAGGATGCTCGAACTCCGGATGCTGCGGCGACAGAAAAACGCCAAACTGTAAATAATGAAAAGGTTGGCGACAGTGACAGCAGCACCGCGGTCTCCCACACCACCTCCCCTCTTTTGCCTCTTCTCCTTGTTGTTGCGTGTGCGGCTGCTGCTGCGGTGGTGGCCGCGTGAGAGTGAGTGTGAGAGAGCCATGCACCGCCCGCACACACACTCTTCCTTCTCTCACTCTCTGTGTGTGTGTGTGTCCCCTTGCATGGACTCTCGCCCTCACCTCACCCCACGAGGCACACACAATAATGTGCCCATTGTATATATGCATGCACACCCATGCAGGCCCGTTGGTGCTCTCTTTTGCACGACACGCACCGCTGCCGTCCTGCCTGGCTGCATGGGCGGAGCACCGCAACTGTTTCTGTTTTGTTTTCATTGCATTGAGTGGGCGACCTCTCTCTCTCTCCCTCTGTGTGTGTGTTTTGCTTTACGGGAGTAATGAGAGTGTGTGCGCTGGTCGTCCCACGCTTCGGCTTTTTTGTTTTTTTGTAATTTTTTAAATTTTATTTCTGTTTGCTTTAATGGTTTATTTTCTTTAACTTTTTTTTTGTTTTGCTTTTTAAAAAATCACTCATCTCCATCCCTTCTCTTTTTTTTGCTTTCGGGGCAATCACTGTGGACGTTTTCTTTTCTACTCTTCCCTCTTTAATTGTTTCTTCCGCACTCTTCCTGTGAGGGTGCCGTGTGTTTCCGCCCAACTGCTCCACTCGCACACCCACCGACACGCCCATGACGACGGCCCTGTGCGCCTCGCCTGCTGCACGCATGAGGAGGGGCCGCGACGAACGGCGCGCTGAGGGAGCCGTGACGTGTGGGCGTGCGACGAGGGCCTGTGGGGCGGAGCACACATTTCTTCCCTCTTGTTTTGTTTTGTTTTTTGCGGCCAGGGCGGGCAGACACTCGCAGCGCCACACACACAGCCACACCCTGCCGCCGTGTTTTTAAGATTTCTTTTTTTTGTTTTTTGTGAATGGTGTGTGCTGCCACCGTGTGTGAATGTTGAGGTTGGGGCCGTACCGCATGTATCGCCGTCATCCAGCTGTGCCTCTTGCTGTGTTGATGTGCTTCCCTGTGCTTCTTTTTCCGTTTCTCCAGCACACACACACACATGTATTTGCACAGCGCTCTGCAGGAATGCTTTGGCGAAGGTAGGGACGTTGGCTTGCGTCCCGTGCTGAAATGGCGACGCGGCCGCACGATGCCTGCCATGCGTGAAGTTGCCTGCTCTTGGGGCATTCTTCTCTCCTCGTTGTTTTTGCACTGCCGGGTGCGTGCGTTGCTCGGTGTGCGCTGACGCGTGACGGACGGTGCCACGATGGCCTCCTCTGACGGTGACAGTCGCTGTGCTCTCGGCACACATCCACACACTCTTTATTGTCTCTCTGTGGGAGTGATTGCAGCAGGGCATTGCTGCGAGCGTGATGGGGACCACGACGGCTTCACCCTCGAGAAGGTGCCACGCTCTGTTGGTTGTGGAACGGCGAGGCGGTTTGCCTGCAGCCCGACCGACAGAACCGCACAGTCGTTTCATTGCGGTCACTCCGTCGGTACCACTCGCTGCGGTGGTGTCCGCCAGAGCCGCAGCCCCGATGTGGATGGCCTTGTAGTTTTCTGGCAGCTGAGAACTTCAGGCCCTTCGTCTTTCAGGGTTGCCCTTGCTGCTCGACTGGCGCAGCAACAACCCGGCATGGTTCTTCTGCAGGAGTGCAGGCACGAGAGTGCCCCAGCGACGAGGCTCATTGGCTGCCGTGACTTCCACCAGACCTGCAGTGGGCGTGCCGGTGGCGTGGCCTTCTTGGTGCGCCACACCTTGCCGTGCGAGCGCCTGTCGCTCGTGGCGCCAACTGCGTGGAGACCACCGCCTTCCGCGTGTGCCCACCTGCCAGCCCCAGCGTGTACGTGATGAACCTCTGCAAACTTTCCCGGCAATTGCCCACGCTGCTCACTTTACGAGCACCATTCGTCGTCTTGGTCCCGCAGCGGTTATTTGCGACCTGAATTCACACCACGAGCTGCGTGACGGTCGCTCACCATCCACGACGGCAGGAGAGGACCTCGCCGCCACCCCAAGCGGCATGGAGATTGAGCTGTGCGACGACCCGGCACAGGCAACATGGATCAGCGGCCGCAGCGTCTCGTTTCCCGACGTGACTGCGCAACGCGTGCTGCGTGTCTCCCACTGGACGTCCACTAGTTTACATGGACTCGGACCACCATCTGCCATCCCACACCGCAGGGACGGAGGACGGCATACCGCGACAGGCAGGCATGCTGCCACGACGGAAGCATGTCTTCGTTGTCCTGCGTGAAGCTGACTGTGATGCTTCCACCTCGGCGTGTGCAACGTCTCTGGCCGCTGTAATCAAATGGTTGGAGATGCACCGAGGCACTGTGCGAGCGGCAGCCGTGACATTCCCACAGGAATCTGTACGGACGGAATGGAGCAGGCCGAGTGTGTTGCGGCGGCAGCCTGCCCCGAGCTGAAGTGCACCGCAAACGGGAGGACCGCAATCATGCCCTCCGCGGTGGCTTCTCCATGCTGCCAGAGGTCCGTGCGAAACAGCTTGGTGCCCTCTCGATCCCAGGCCTGTGATGCCTCGAGGCATGGTGGCGCCACGTTCCTGCCCTCTGGGATCGGCTGTGCTGCGGTGCTGTTGGGACCGGGTCTGTGCTCTGCCTCCGCCGGAACCTCTTCCCGACGCGAGCACCGCCACTCCTCGCCGACCAGCGAGCGGCTGATTGACGTCCTCCTGCCCACTCCTCGGCAGACTGGCACGCGCCCTGCGGATCACAAGCAACCCATTGTGTCGGTGGTGCTGCTCCTCCTCACACTGAAGGGGCAGGACCGCCCCGACCTCCTCCGGAACCTCCACCTGGCGTGTCCACGGCACCTCCTCGTAGAACGACGAGCAGCAGATCAACGTCGCCCTGCCCAAGCTGCGGCAGCGTCTTCTCGTCCGTCCACAATATGGAGGCACACGCCCGACGCACTAACCCCGGCACTCCAATCGTTGCAGAAGGCGTCACATGTGGATTCTGCGACAGCTCCACGGTCTCCCAACAAGTGCCTCACGCGCAGGTCACTACCGAAAATGCCAAGCGTATCAACGAGCAAAAGACGAACAACGCACCTCTGCAGGCTCCAATGACAGCCGTAGCCCTTCAGCCACTCCTCTGCTGCAATCACCACCAGCCGCTGAGCCCCGACAATCCACGGGAGGCCCTGCCGCACACGCTGTGGGAATGCCCCCGTCCTCGACAACTGAGCATCCAACTATTTGGGAACACACCCTCTCGCACGACAGCACCGTTCAAGAGGGAAAAACTGGCCACATCGCTACGGACAGCCCGCAGGCCATTAACGAACAGTGGCTGCAAAGTATAACAAAACAAATACTTCCCTTTTCTCAGCATAGAAAAACGTCACCTTCACACTCGCAATTGCCACCAATGAATTCATTGCGCAATACCGCTCTGAGCTGCAATACTTCCTGGTGCCATCCACGTCCCTTGTCGACACATCGATGCGGGTGGGCGCCCATCCATTCCTCCCAATGACGGTGCATGTCTGCGACGCACCCTCAGATCCAAGAGGCACGTCCCTCACCACAGCCGGGATCGACTTCGCCCTGTCCGCACGCATCGCCTTGTCAGAGGAGCAGGAGTACGTCAGGCTGGCAGCAAAGCACCCGCTGGCACAACACATCACAAGCATCATCACAACCAGAAGCACCAGCAGCACTGCAAACCGTGAGGCGATGTGGATCAACTGACGCATGCTGTAGCAGAAAACATTTAATGGCTTGAGAAGAATAAGAAACACTCACAATACCTCAAAAGAAAATAATAAAATAAAAATAGAAAATCATACGTTTGCAGTCAAAGCAGACCAATAATCGATAAAGAAAGGGGTAACAGGTGCTCTCAACCACAACAAATAAAACAGTAAAAAAAAGAAGAAAAAGCCGAAGCGTGGGACGACCAGCACACACACTCTCATTGCTCCCGTAGAGCAAAACACACACACACAGGGAGAGAGAGAGGTCGCCCACTCAATGCAATAAAAACAAAACAGAAACAGTTACGGTGCTCCGCCCATGCAGCCAGGCAGGACGGCAGCGGTGCGTGTGCTGCAAAAGAGAGCACCAACGGGCATGCATGGGTGTGCATGCATATATACAATGGGCACATTATGTGTGTGCCTCGTGGGGCGAGGTGAGGGCGAGAGTCCATGCAAGGGGACACACACACAGAGAGAGAGAAGGAAGAGTGTGTGTGCGGGCGGTGCATGGCTCTCTCACACTCACTCTCACGCGGCCACCACCGCAGCAGCAGCCGCACACGCAACAAAAAGAAGCAAAAGAGGGGAGGTGGTGGTGTGGGAGACCGCGGTGCTGCTGTCACTGTCAGCAGGCGTCGTGTTTATTTGATTAGTGGTGTTTGCACCAGTTTTGGTTTTTTGTTCTTTGCCTGGAGGATTCTCTTGATTTTGTTCCTTTTGTTGTTCTCGTTCCTCTTCTGTTTCATCATCCTTTTCTTCTCCAGTTTTTTGTTTGATTCCTGTCAGAGTTCCTCCTGCATGTGTGCGTTGGACTTCCTGCTGAATATCAGCTGAGTTTACTTTCGGGGCACCTGAGACATGTGCAGCCTCTTCCCTGACTTGATCCCGATGTCCTTCATGATCCTCAACACCTTCCTCCCCGTCTTTTTCTTCTCCTTCATTGGAACCATCATTGCCTTTGTGTTCTCCCGGAGAATGATCCCCTGCAGGATTATGTGGTGTTATTTCTTCAACATTTGTTTGTTGTTCTTTTTCCTGCGTCGGTTGATTTCCTTCTACATTTCTTGTATCCTCTTCTTGGACTGGAATTTTTTGATGTTGCGGCTGTAGTCCGATTGTTTCTTTTTCGTTGGTTCCTTCCGCTTCATCATCAACTGTTTCTTTTTCTGATGGGTTTTGTCTTTCAACTTCGACGTGGCGTTGATTTTCTGTTTGCAGTTCACTTTCATTTTCTTTTTTCAGTTTTCCATTATTGGCTTGTGGCTGTACTCCTCCTCCTCCTTTTGTTGGTGTTGGTGGAGATGGTCCTTCTTCTTCATCTTCTCCCTCATCATCATCGTCAGAAATTTCTTCTTGTTCGGCCAAAGGCACTTTTATAGGCGTTTCTTCGGTTTTGTCGTTAATATCTGACGCTTTTAGATCTGAGTTTTTCAACGCCTCCGGTACAATTGGTTGTGATCCCTGCAAACTCCCAGCGCCACCCCCAGACGCACCAGGCAGAACTCCACCTGCACTCTCCTCAGCACAACAGCCGGCACCGCACCACAGCACGCAGAGGGCACACACCAGCAGCACACGGCCAGCCATCATCATCATCACTCCTTTCACTTGCGTGCAGCCTTCAGCACAAACTAACAACACGTCAACGCAGAGTGAAGCAAAAACAAAAGAAACAATTCACATAGCCATCCCAGCAGCAGCAGCACGC